ACCATGGGCTGGCTCTTTGACGGAGGCCAGCACGACTCTGCTGAGTTCCTGCAGCAAGTGTTTCGGAATCTCTCTGCATCAAGATTTGGACAGTGGGAAACTAGAGCCTCAGTACCGGAAGGCGTGATAGTGGACGAAGAAGGGGGCTCTCCCATTCATCTTGCCACGGCGATCAAGACCAACCTACAGGACATGCTAGTGGCATGGTCGTCTCAGGAGCGCTCATGTGCTCTCATAGAAGCTGCACAGCAGGTGTGCTTAGCCTTGCCGAGATTCGCAGGTGAAGCTAAGGATCACACTCGCATCACAATCCCACAGCAAGTCCAGATCCCTGTCTTCCTGGACCACACATCCCGAGTTTCGTTCTGTACCTACACAGTAGAGGCAGTGATCATTCACCTAGGAATGGAGTCCACTAGTGGCCATTACCGTGCAGCTGTACGCACAGCAGATGCCTGGTATGTTGGTGATGATGTACCCTCGAAGATCCCCTGCTTCAAGACGTCATCTTCCTAGCTCGCAGCGCCGTCTCTCACGAGCCCCAGGACGTAGCCAATCTCCCGAGTAATGTCTCTGCAAGAGCTCTTCCAGCGAGTATCGATGGATGAGAGCTCTGCCCCTAAACGGGGAGACGCAGGTCCGTCAGGTGGAGATTCTCCCCTGAAGCGACAGCGTGGTGGAGGTACTCCCCAGCAACGAGGCAGAGGACAACAGCGAGGGGGCAAAAGCAGGGGACGAGGAAGCGGAGGCCGAGGGAATGGAGCAGCCAGAAACCAAAATGGGAACAGTGGCAACACTCAGCAGGGACAAGATCGTCTCATGGCAGCCTCTTCCTGAGCCAGACGCCTTGCGGAGATGCTCCCTTAGGAGGTGACTCTCCCCAAGAATCGGAGGAGTTTCTCCCCTTGCCATGTGTGTACAGCTGGTGGAGTTTCTCCCCAGCAGCTGAGTGCAAAATGATCTGCTGCCAATCAGCCAGTGATACATTGCAACCAAGCCGGTTAGCTTTCAAGCTAGTGCCGAAATCATAACGCCGCATAAGACTCTGAAGACACATTCGCTTCCCACTTCACAGCTTGCAGCCCTGAGGGGCGGAGCGTGTGCAAGTGCAGCGCTGAGGCACGGCTTGCCGTGAAGAGTGACCGCGCAAGTAGTAAGCAGGGCACTAGGTCGATCCCTCGCAAAGCGTGGACGATAAGTTTCACCACAGACAGTCCTCCCCCGCTGCGTGTGAATGAATGAAATATCGTTGTTGTTGCTGTTGTTGCCGCTGCTGCTGCTGCTGTTGCCGGTGTTGGGGTGCATGAGGGGGTACTGCATGCGATGGGCTAAGTTAGGGTAGGGACGTACGCGGGGTGGCATGCTACGCTCCCCAACTCGGGTGTGCGCTGGGCCGAGGCGGGTATACGCAGCAGTAGTACGTGGATAGCTAGATCAAAACTGTACAGGGAGAAGAGGTGGGAGCAAATTGAGAAATTAGATACACGGGACAGTGAAGGTCAGGGGCTTGTTGGCGGTTGGGACGCCCGCAGCACTGCACTACAATCAATCCGTATGCTTACTGCATATCAATAATGAATTCGAGGCAAGATTCTGTGCCTTGCTCCTTAACTTGTGCACTGCAATTCAGCCAAACACATGTCAGGAGCACATGTCTTACACACGAAATTGTCCCCCATACCTTACCCCAGCATGTCAGAAATGGCACAGACAGCTGGTCCTACGTAAACGCATTTTCTACTTCAGCCACGCCGTGAAATAATCAGGATGTCTTTGAACTGCGAGAGACCCTAGTGAAGTCATAAATCCAGTACGATTCCATGCAGTAGCCTCATCTCATCTGTAAAGCCCCTGTAAGCAACCTCCTCCGAAGTGCATGTTGCCTGGAGCAAGGCAGCGGGCGCTCGCTGGTGAGCACCAGCGCCCGCTCCTCGAAGCCGCGAAGGCGGTAGCAAGAAACAAGCTTCCAGCGTCTGCTACGTGCTGTGCCCCTTGGCCACCGCACCTGCTCGATGTGCGGAAACTCGAAGATTTCCGCCTCATCCACGGTGATTGTTGTGCGGGTGCGGCTTATGTTGCCCGGCATGTTAGCTCCGTTGTTGTAAAGGCTCCGTCGGCCTATACATCGAGGAACTCGCTACAGGGAGTACTTTGAGGTTGATGGTCTTTCGTTTTGTTCTCCCTGCTCTCTATTTCCAAGCCTATACCTTTCTATGATCGAAGCTCTGCAGTCAAACCTGGGGATATCGAGAAGACCCCAAACCCTAGAGGCCGGAAGACAGAAAAAGTCAGTGGAAATGCCCGAAAGAGAAACACACACTGAGACTGAAGCCCCCTGGATCGGGCTTGGAGTTTCGGGTTTACGGGTTTGCGTGTCTTGGGAACAAACAACAGACATATCAAAAAACAAATAAGAACAAGAACAAACATGCAATGACCGCAACAGCAGCGGCAGTAGCAGCCACAGCCGCAGCGAAAGCAAGCGCAGCAGTGGCTTGCGTTTCTTTAGCACTGCTCCTTTCCTCTCTGCTTTCTTGGCATATCTGCCCGATTGCATGCCTACACTTTGCCTGCAGTCGCTCTCCAACGTTCCCCCGAAACGGTCCAGAAATTCCGGAAACCGCATAAACTCGACCCTGCACCCGAATCTCGACACAAACTGCTGTTACTGCTACTGCTACTGCTACTGCTGCTGCTACTGCTACCGCTAACTCCAACCCTCAGGCCCCACGAGACAAGAATCGAACACCTTTCCACGGCTCAAGAGCTCGGGGCCTGCTCCAGGAATAAAACGCGCTTTGGCGCCATTGCCGGGGCAGAAGTAGAAGAAGAAAAATGAAGTAAGCGTAGTCGTAGTCGTCGTAGCAGCAGTGGTAGTAGTAGTCGTCGTCTTAGTAGTAGTAGTAGTAGTAGTAGTAGTAGTAGTAGTAGTAGTAGTAGTAGTAGTAGTAGTAGTAATTAGTAGTCAGTAGTAGCAGCAGTAGTGCTAGTGGTCGCAATGCTAGTGGTAGTAGTAGTGGTGGTGGTGGTGGTGGTGGTAGTAGTAATCGTAGTAGTAGTAGCAGTAGTAGCAGTAGTAGCAGTAGTAGCAGTAGTAGCAGTAGTAGTAGTAGTAGTAGTAGTAGTAGTAGCAGTAGTAGCAGTAGTAGCAGTAGTAGCAGTAGTAGCAGTAGTAGTAGTAGTAGTAGTAGTAGTAGTAGTAGTAGTGCTAGTAGTAATAGTAGTGGTACTGGTCAGACTAATCAGTAATGTGAGCTCGTGATTATTAAAGGTCCCCTCAATAGAGCGAATCTCGGCCTGCACGTAATACTAAAAGGTCCCCTCAATAGAGCGAAACTCGGCCTGCACTTAATAATAAACCCCCCTCAATAGTCCCAAAACCCGTCCCGGTGTTAAATTTTGTAAGGTTTAGGTAAACAATTCCAAGCTACTGTACTACTATACTACTGTACTACTACTCCTATACTTCTACTACACTACTACTGTACTATTGTGATACTCTACTACTATACTAGAACTGTACTACTGTATTGCTATTGTACTACTGTACTACTGTACTATTACTGAGAGCACCGGCTCCCAAACAACTTCGCCCCCAAACAACTAAAGATGATCACCTATTCTATTGCGTAGTCTTAATAATCAGGAGACTACATTAGTGGTGGTAGGACCAGTGATAGGAGTAGAAATCGTGGTAGTAGCAGCCAGCAGAAGTAGCAAGTCGTTGCCGTAGTCGCGGGTGTGGTATTCGTAGTACAGCTGTTAGCTGCTCGAGCCGCTTCAGAAGAAACACCGCAGTTGCCTGGGAGGACGTTGGTGCAGCGGGCAAGCGAATCTCTGTTGACAACCTGCGGCACTTTTGGCCCAGTGTTTCGGGAATCGTAAGATGTCTCTGTGTTTATGTGTGCGCGTCTGTGTCGGTCTGTGCCGGTCTAGCTCCTTGCCTGCCGCCTGGTTGTCTCCCACTCCTGCCTCGACAGTACACTCGCCCGACTCAGATCCGCTCTGCTGGACAGTCGGTAGTTGCAACCTGCGTTCACATATGGCTCGTCATGCCAGGTAGGGTACGGGACATGAGCACCCCAGCCAACATCAATCGAACAACTACTGTAAGAGGCGCATCGGAGTCTCTTGAGTTGCTGAGTCTGCTACTGTTGATGATATAAATCCTGCACTACGTGAAGGACCTTAAACTATGGGAACTATGGTATATTCCCTATTATGGGTAATGCAGGATCTATCTCATCAACCGTAGGGCAGCTTTTTGCGGTGCGCTGCTTCCGGAAAATCGGCTCTGTATCTGCGAAGCCACAAGGGAGGACGACACTTCAATCCCAACATTACCCTAAGGCCCCAAAGTAGTTCTTTTTTGGGATTCATATGTAGAATCCTATATTGCAATCCCAAAAAGGAACTACTTTGGGGCCTATGAGTAAGCCATGTTTGGACTTTCGGGAAAGGCTCCCCTAGTTCGAAGGCACTTCTGGGCTTTCGGGGATTTCCACACTCTCCGCTCTTCTACCATACTATTGATGGACAAAATCCTGCATGACCCTAAGGACTCTAAACCATGGGAATTATGGTATAGTCCTTATTATGAACTATGGGAATTACGGTTTTGTCCTTATTATGAACTATGGGAATTATAGTATAGTCCATATTATGAACTATGGGAAGTATAGTATAGTCCTCATTATGAACTATGGGAATTATGGTATCGTCCGTATTATGGGTAATGCAGGATTTATCTCTTCTACCATCGCTCCCACCATGGCAGACAGGTTCCCATTTTGGGAAAGAGCGGGAGTCTCAGAAGAGACTAAGGGAGCTCCCATATAATGGAACCAAATATCGTAAGATCCGAAATTCCGAAGGGTTACGGTTTAGGGCCTCTGGCGTACAGAGGAGTAGGGAAACTGACATTCTCTAGCTTCCTGTGGGTTCGCATGCTTGGCTGTTCTAGCCTCGTGAGGTTGAGTGTTGCCTACCCCTCAAGGAAACTAGAGCTCCACCAAATCCTCGAGACAGAAATCTTTGTCTGTCAAGTGTTCAGCGCTCGATGCCTCACCACTTGCCTTTGCCGCATAAACACCGGTCTTCGATGCCCGCGTCTCTTCCACGAGCCTGCAAACCTCCGGCGGAGAACAAATGTTGTGCTTGTAGCAACTTTTTCGGCAAAGCTTTCGGTAGTGGACAAGTTGCGCAACGACACAACTTCGACTCATCAGAAGGAGTGTATTATATGCCCCTACAGAGAAGACCCAGTAAACTCTCCAGAAGCAAACTCAAAGTCTGGGTATGACTCTATCTGTTGCTTCGCATATGTTCTTGCGCGACTCTTGCACGCAGCAAATGTGGTCATCGCAAGCCTCCTGAACGAGTCCGACTGCATCCGCCGCGGGCATCATGCCAAGCCGACGCAATGCTCTTCCAAACTCGTCGAGAGAGAAGCGCGCCAGTCCTCAAAATGCGTCAAGACCAAGCACCAGGAAGGAAACTACATGTGATGCCATCGCCCGTCTTGAATGCCGAAAAAAGGCATGCAATACTTACTGCACAATGCACAATATTATGCTATACGATGTTCAACTATACTCTACGGAGGGTATACTACACTATGCTATATATTATTACAGAATTAGGCTTTGCTATATTGTATCATTCTAGATTTCATTCTATTGTACTAGGTCACCATATACTATACTGTACTGAGTTATGTCGCATCAAATCATGCCATATCCTCACATATCATATCAGATCATATCACATCGTAACAAGAATCATTATGCTAGTATATGATGCTATTCTGTTGTATCATATTTGATACTATACGATATCGCTGCATTTCTGTTCCTTGAGGACCGCCTGGGTCGGAGAGGTCGCAGAAGCGCTGGACCTCTCAGGCGGGGCTCCCGTGCTTGGAGGTTCATGGCTAGCTACAAGGGTCGTTATAAGTCGGTTAAGTTTATGAAAAACCATGTTAGGGGACTTATAACTTGTAACCCCTCTGACAAAGCTCCTGGAGGACGGGGCGGTGTAGGTTTTAGGGGACATTTTGGGGAGTTTTAGTGGTTTGGAGGTTTTTGGGGCTGTGCGGCTTTAGGGATGACGGGTAAAGCCTTACACAGCCGACCCACAGACTGTACTGGGAGTCTCAACCGGACATCACAGCTGCATCAACAGCTCTAATTAACCGCAGCCGCCTGTTGGATAGAGATGGATGAGAGCTCTTCTGGCTTGATCTTTTCCTTTGTGTGCAGCGCGTTCACTTGCACGCAAGCTGATCGGAGCTGAGTCGGCTTAGTCCCTGGCTGCCACACCAGCGCGAGTGCTCGCCAACACACACAGGATCGTCTGCACCGGCGGGAGCCTTAGTCACTGTTGGCACTGAGTCAAAGGCACGAATCTGGTGAAGTGCAGCAAAACATGACTATAATTCCGCAAACAAGTCATTGCAAACATGAGTGCCTCCTAGAAGCTCTCGCTGATGGAATTGGCAGACCCACATCTGGACGAATCCTGTGTCAGGGACGGAAGAGTCTCCTGGTTCCTGAACCTTCAGCCGAGCATGATCTTTGACGTAAAGTCCCTGAGTCGCGTTCTGCTTACGACGCAACACGCCGAGCAACAACTTCCACGAAGTGGGCTCAAGCAACATCCAGTGCTTCTATGTGGGTAGCTTTGGTGGGGGCATGGACGTCAATGAATCACGGGGGTAACCCCTGCACCGCTTAAATAGCAGTAGCATAGCTTCTTTTGTGATCTTGTGAGACGAAGCCTGATAATCGTGCAGAAAGCCATGGTATCAACAGCAGTCAGGGCGACCAGGAAAAAACCCTTGCACCTTCAAAGGCCTTTGCCATCATCTGTTCCTGAGCTGCATAGGATTTCTTCTGCTGCAGGCCCTTAGCCCATTAGACACCAGCACGAGTCAATGCAATAGGTAAGCAAGAAAGGATACACCCGAAAGAATGCGGGGTTTCAACTAGGGACCCGAGGTTTAGGTAAAGCCCGAATCCTCACAAGATTTGGTAATCGGCTGTCAAGTCTCTTGGTAGGAGCTGCCGACGCGTAGCACCACGGCTCTCGTGCGCTTCCACATGCGCCACACATACTCGCATCCTGGGCAGACATGAAACCAAGTCTCTTGCACGGCTATGAAAGGACAGGCAAGAAACGAGGTGAGTGATATTCCTGAGGCTCAAGTGGGAAACGGTGCTGAAGCTGCTAAGCTTTCATGTGCAAAATTTTAACCCTGGAGGCACTGAATGTCAAGACCTACGATTGACACATTAGGGCGCTTCGATCAACTAGTATCACTCTCAACATCCTTCACTCTACCGAGTCTAAAGCCCAACAATATGATGCCTAAATACGTTGGTTTACGAGGCTGTTCAGTAGCCCACTGGGAAAAGTATATACTTTTTTCGGCTTCTTATTTAATATTTATACTATGGGCCCAGAAACCTGAAAGCAAACAAGTGTACCACTGAACAGCCTGGTTTAAGGATTTTACGAGTTTAAGCCAGGAGCCCTGACACCACAGTGGTGTACGGACTCGCTGCACCCGGGTCACCCGACCTTCATGACCGGACAAACAGGAATTTGGATAAATCCTAAACCCATTATAGGGGTTTAGGGCTTAGGGTTTAGGATTTAGGGGATGTTTCCCAACACCCCGGAACTTGCACGATGAGGAGAGTGCCTCACTTCAACTTGGATTGCATGCGAGCAGCTGGGATTGAAGTAGCGCCCGTTTGCGGACGGTGGGTTGAAGACCACCTGACGTGTGCTGGATCCACGGCTTTTCGGCTTGGCGTAGTTAGTGTAGGAAGCAAATTCTCGGGAGAAGGAGAGGTTCAGGAGCAGGGTATGGCCGTGTAGCTGAGGTCTGCGAACAACTCGATACACTGAACGTGCATCCTGCGGCGATCATATCCATGTGGCTTCGGATAAACAGGCCGTGGAGCAAAAATGAATGAACATATCACGGACGGATGGCAAAATCCCAGCAGCATGCCTTATCATGGAAGCACGACCACTCCACAATGAACTGCTCGTCGTCGTCATCTTGCTGGAGCAAGGGAACAACGTAGTCCACGGTGAAGCGTTTGCAGGCGCCTGAGTCTCCATAGAAGTGGCTGTCAATATTAGGGTCCCTTTTTTGGGTCCTTTTTATAATACGGCACCTAATATTTAGGGTACCCAAAAAGGGACCCCAATTTTGACAACTACCCATAGAAATACACAGAGATGCTTCCCTCGCTTCCAACCCAAGCGCGAGGGGCTTAGAGCATTGACAAGTTAAACATTGGCTCATCTAGGTAAACACAAATAACCGTAGCTGCCGTAGCTGATAAGAGTCATAATCCTAACTATGAAGGCCCCTAAATTAATCGAACCTGACAAGAGTCGCATGACCCTCATACATCTCTAACCATGGCTAACGTTCGTGTGGACGTCCGGGGCCCGGGCGCAAGGGCCGCTGAAGCCTCCCGAGGACGCGCGCAAAGTCCGTTCCCTCCGGCACTTCCTCTTCCTCGTGGTGTTGCTTTACAGCGGGGGCGGGGGGTACTCTGCGAATATGTGTTGGGGAACTCTATATAAGATGGTGCGCTTCTTCTTAGGGAAGACCGACCATCATATAAGGGATCCTAGCACAAGTTAAGGACAATTTCTTGATTAAAGGATATTGGAGTCTCTGGGTACCGAACCTGAGGAGTCGGACGGGCGGTCCTCACCCAATCTGTGAGAAAGATCACGGAGGAACTGCGCCACCGCATGCACAGCGAAGTACAGGAAAACCTGGAGATCCGCTTGAACGTGCGAAGAATAATGGCGCAGCCAAAGGAGGATACTATGAGACTGCAATATGATAACAATACCATAGCTATATTTTAACAATACCTTGATGATATAATGATACTATAACATACCATAGCCATAATTTTACCATAACTTGATGATACCATGATAAAGGAACAGCGAGGATCACGGCCGCGAGCGTGAAAGCCATAAGCCTCAAGAGGCTTAGGGTTTGGGGTAGTAAGTAGGGTGGTAAGTAGGGTGGCTATACTTATAACCCATATTAGGGGACTTATAACCCTACTTATAACTACCCATGAACCCCAAGTAATAGCTAGAGTGGGGTTTCTTTAAAGGGGTCTACAAGGATTACTATAAGGGAATTATGGGGCTTATAAGGGGCCATAACCCTTAGAATGGGGTTCCATAAAGGTTTCTACAAGGGTTACTACAAGATTTCTGCTCGACGGTTCCAAACTCCGATTTCTTCGTCTGATTTTCTCCTGTAGTTCAAGATCCAGCTAGCATACTACGTACCAGTTCGGTCACAGTGTCACATGGAGGCTGGGGCTGCGCTATCTCCGCGGCAGGGTTGAGCAGAAGCAGGCATGCAACTGCAGTGAAGAAGACGAAGCGAGACGCCAAGAGCAGCACCTCCAGAAAATCCAAGAGCCTTGGCATCGAGGTCCAAGGCCTGAGTCATGGGGACCCCGCGGGGGGGAGGGGAGGGAGGGGGAGGGGGGTAGGGGACTATATTTCCTTAAACAGGTCCTTATTATGGGCAGTAAGGCCGTCCCTAGGGCTTGAAGGGCCAGGCGGCTGTAGCGGGCAATGCAACACAGCTGAAAGATTCGCATGCTGGGTGTGGACGAATGCATGGGTAACACTTGTTGCCAGGTGTTTCATCGGTACTTGGCAAGCGCTGAATGACTCAATTGTCTTCTCCAGATCTCCGGTTCTCCTGCACTTGCAATCCAAAGGCTCTGCTTGCTCGTTGGAGAAGGGCTTGAACCAGCACGTGATGCCTGAATGCAATCACACACACACACAGACAACAAACCCCGCCTCACGAGAACATCAAGCTGGAAAGCCTAAGGCTGAACTAAGTAAGCCAGGGGCTGATCTGAACAGCGGAAATGAGGGGAAAGAGCAGCAACTTGGCCCGGTCATCTGGGGCCAAAGATGTATAAGCCACCAGCATCATCAAGCCAATGTCCAGTCTCTTTGCAACCTGGGCTTCTTAGACTTTGCTGATTTTGGCTGTATCCACGGCCGAAAAGCTTGCTTTGGGTCGTGGGTGTGTGGGGGGGTGTAGGCTTGTGGATCAAGGCTGGATGTTCGTATGACTGCCACCAAGCAGAAGCGGAGTCGGGACCTGAAACGATTGCAAAACCCTTCTGTCGTCCTGCCATCATGTACTACAATATACTTTATGATACTCTAATATTAGAACACACACACACATATATATATATATATACATACTAGAATAGCAGGTAGCCCCACCCCCGGGCCGCGACTCTTTGGGACCAAGTGACAATGTCCCACCACCAGAAGGATGGCTCCAAACCTACTCCGTGACATTTCGTTCATGTGGTGCCTCCTCATGGCAACTCCCTCCTATAAAAGGCTATTATTCTACATACTTTTGGGGTCCAGGTAGAGCTCTAAATTCAGGCAAGGAAGCAATTTCATTGCAAAGCAGCAGGTAACTGTGCTGAAGTTTTTGCTATTACTGCGGAGCCTTAACTCTGGCGCGAGTCTCAGTGCCCTAAGCCCAAGGCCTCAGATCCGAGGCTCGAATCCCGGGTCCTTCATACCTAGGGTTTCGGGCTACAAAATACATAAAACTTTGCTATAAGTATTCAAGAATGTATATTTTTGATGTTATTTGTGAGTAATTACAAATGGTAACTTTTGGGGATGTCCGTGCTTTTCTGCCAGGGGCCACATTATGCGCAATTGCTGTAAGGGAGAGTCTTACTACTGTTTGAAGGGTTTAGGGACTCCCCTGTTGTTCTGGCTCATGGTCTGACGCTTCGGCCAAGCAACCTGAAACCTAACACTGCTCTCGCATTGCACTCCCCCTCATGCAAACAAAAAGCCTGCACGAAACCTCTAAAATGCTAAATTTACCATGCGACCCAAGATACCGTAAAGCCTTAATGTACCACATGAACGAAGGAACCTTCAGGCAGCCTGAAGAAACCGCAATGCCCCTAAGCCCCTGGCCTTCGATGAAGTAACCGTACTTTCTGAGGTTCTACTGGCTCTGCCGGTCTTGGATTCGCCAGAGAGTCCTCGGTTCTGGCACATGTTAGGGCCCAGGTCTATCGTAGATCGGGGGGGGGGGAAGTGCAGCGTCGTATTGCAACAGCTATTCTGGGGTTAGGGTTTAGCTGTTTAGCACAGTATTCGAGGTGCTTCGGAGGGAATTCACCATAGCCGAGGCTCAGAAACATGGATAAGGGGATACCAGCACACCAGGTGACCAGCCCCACCACCAAAGAAATCAAGGACAGCGGAGCATGGTCGGACGACCAGCATACGATATCCTTGGTGTCAAGCAGAGGGCGTACACGTTAAAGGGGCGCTGGACGAGTGGAACGTGCATCTGCCGAACTCGTGATTGCTCCCTTGTTGCTTTAAGTCTTGGAGAGCAAGGGGCAGGATGCTGGACCAACCGTTGTAACACCTGCGCATTGCCTTCTGCAACTGGCGCGCACCAGAAAAGCTGCAAATACCTGGTGAACTTAGGTTTTGCCACAAAACCAATAGCGTCGGGTCAGTTGTCGCTAATCGGGTTTTCACGTTCGGGTTAAAAGGCCCAACTCCCTTGACCCCTGGGTTGGGCTGTCGAATATGGGCGCCTCAATATTTATAGGGTTTGGGGCATACTGCGATACAGTTTAAAGGATAGGGACCACAGGGGACATTCAGTATTGTTCATGATTCGGAACTCCAGGTAAGCTTTGCTCAAGCTTGTAATGATGATCACGCAAGGATAGTCTCTAAATGTCTCCAACCGGGTGCTATTTACGAGCTCATGTGTGATACTAAGTATGGCTATGGCTATACATAAGTAGTTAATTTGTGCTTGTGCCATCAATCAGGGCTACATGGTAGGCCTAATCAGTGGTATCTACCCAAGTCTTTTTCCACGACGGACTCGGTCCGCAGATCCTCTGAGCACTGCCGTCTTCATGAACTGGCCTCATTGACTCATAAAAGCCTTTTCTTTGCGGACTTCATAGCAGAATCCCAAATACAATCCTTGATGAAGGAGGGATTTCGTAATCAGCGGTCTGCAATCTCAGGCGCTCTTTCAGCAACTCTGGCCACATGAAGATCAGGGTCAACCATACCTTGGTCGTTCGTGGCAGCTCCTAAGTAGGGAGACGTATATCACATACAATATAACAATTATACAGATGATTATGCAATATACAGTATATGTATAAAATAATATATGTCAGTGATATAACAGAAAATCTATAATAAGTACTATTCTCGCTACTATACTTGATATTTTAGACGAATTTGGGATTCAGATTAGTCAGACGAAGCGCCACAGGCATGCTCTGCTGCAGGAGATCTTAGGCTGAGGCCAGGGAATGAAGAGACCGAAATTCCTCGGCTCAAAACGGCAGGGTCGACACTGGAACGAACTATATGGTGCCCTCAGATCCTCACGGGATCAACAAGCTCATTCTCTCCATGCCGCCCCTCGCTTCCTAGTTCGGGGTCCTTCCCTGCATCCTTCGTTGTGCTCTCGCCAACGCTTTGCCACGGGGTTTGACATTTAGATCTTCTCCGGGCTCCACTTGGCAATGTCGGATGCAGCCACATGTGCTCAAGTAGCAGCACAAGCGTGGCAACCCCGTGTCCGGGCCCCCTGAGCCCCACGAAGCATTGAGCCGTTTGAAACTGCAGGCTGGTCCGAGGACCGCTACAGACCCTAAACTAAACATCGCATTGGGTCCATGCAGCCCATGCCGGAAAGCTACTACCGTGAACACTCCTTGGACCTGAACCCGAAGGCCTACAAAACCTTAAACCCTAAACCCTAAACCCGAACCCCTAAAACCAGAAACCCTAAACCCCTAAACCCTAAACAGCTGAACCCTAAACCCCTAAACCGTAAAGCCTTCAACCCTAAACCCTCAACCCCCTAAACCCTAAAGCCCTAAACCCCAAACTAGAGCGAGCAACGGGCGCTGCGAGTGCCAGCAGCCCGAGTCGTCCGCGAGGCTGTCTCCGTAGCTGGCGCGACAGGCGCAGCGAAGCGGACTACGCCATCTAGGCCGAAAGCCTTGAAACAAAGCCTCCCAAGCCCCCCCAGAAAATTGAACCCCCCCTCTAAAGATTCAAAAAATCCTATACGCCTCCCAGCCCGTGAAGACCTTAGGCCCTACACCCCAAAGTTAGGCCGGTCTTCAGCAGGCACAGCCTATGAAGCCCAGGATTAGTTCAAATGTGGCAAAACAAAAGCGCCAGAAATGCGATTTGGAAATGCGTCCTGGAAGAAGCAAATGCACAAGAAAAGCCAACAAAAACAAAATCAAAGCAGTGTGAAAAGTGCAAAAAGAAAAGAAAGCGAAAAACAAACAAACAAAACACAAGCGCCACGTCTGTATTCATTCTGTTCTCTTTTGGTTTCACTTTTTCATTTTTCTTTTACATTTTTCGTGTTCCGGATACAGCCACCATCAAGGCCTGCCATGCTGTTTTTGCAGTTGTTTCACATTGTTTGCACTTTTCCAGTTTGCATCGCATGTCGCGAACACTTTTCGATTGCTTTTTTGTCACAAAAATAATTGGTTCGGGAGTTCCTAGCCTGTGCCTGAATGCCCGGCTTAACCCCAATGACCTACCATTGCAAAAAGTGCCGATGCCTTCAAGATGTGTGCAGAGCGACAGGCGAATGTTTCGTGCGCAGGTGTCTTGCACGGCTGTTGGCGTTGCAGGTTCTGGTATTTTGCATCGTGAAAGGTTGGTTTGGGCTTCTGGCTTAAGCTCCGCTTCGGTTCTGTTCAGAAATCTGACAATGCTCTGGGTAATGGAGCTTGGGGCTTCGGAAGCTTCACACCTGGAGCCTTCAACCCCAGACTAAAACCATCTACAAACTCTCAACAGATCCTGGCGTTTGTTTTGGAATGCTTCTGGCCTCTCCCCTCAGCCGATGCAGCTCCAGGAGCAGTTCGGAGTGTTCCTGACAAAACCCCGAGTTGCGCGCGGCGTTTGACACAAGGGTACTTGTAATTGATACAAGCCAGATTAAAACAAGTGAGCACTCAGAGTTTCAAAGCGGATTTCTCCAACTTTGGACATCTCAAATGGAAGCCTGCCTTCATATTGGCCTGCTCATCATCCTTCATCTCGGCTCTGTGTACCTTAGGAAAGTCGGGGGTTGACATGCTCGCTCTCATACCCACTGCTGATGCAAGCGTCGCGACCTGCCAACGAACCAGTCTGCCAACGCAATCCTGTTCATGAAGGCCTGGGCGCATGCTCAACAAATCCAACACATGTGTGTCTCAACCCGCTTGGTCCGCTTATGTTATGGCTTGCACACCTTGGCAGCGCCGGGCTCACCGTCCGAGTTCGAGTCTGGCAGATTCTCGAAGGTGAAACGGTCACGGATTATGCGGGCAGAAGCCTTCGCCTTCGCCTTGTGTCTGCGTCCTCTGAAGGGCCGCCACCAGTGGCAGAAGTGCTCGTAGAGCTTCGAGATGATGTCGAAGCGTTGTTGCCCTGCTGTTTGCGCCTTGGTACATGCAAGGACGCCATTTTGTGCGTGTGCTGCGTCTTATCAGCTGCTGCTGAAGGCACTTCTCGGCGCTCTGGTGGGCAGGATCTTCCTGCAGCATCGTGGGCTCCCAAGAGCCGCTGCATGGGGACAGTCAGACTTGTTGTGCAAAAACATTGGAATTTCTGAGAGCCTAAGCTGCTACGCACAAGAGAACAAAGCACGCAAGTAGACGAAGGATCAAGGCAACGGCGGATCAAAGTGTGAAGCTTAAGCGTGGTTTCTCCGTCATTTTTCTTTCCATCAACACATGCTGCGTGATCATTGGTCCTTGACCATCACAGAGGAGAGAACTCGTGCCACATCCATGTGCACAAGCTCGAGGCTGATTGCTGAACTCCATGGCGAAGCAGACGACGGC